AGAAAAGTCGGTGGCGACTCTTGATATCTGCAACAATTGCGATCAAACGCAAAACAACCAAGTCAGTTCTCCCACCGTATTACACACCTTAATGCTTCTGAGATTGTCAACTAGATCTCTTCTTTGTAGTGTTGTAATGGTGGTTCTATTAAGGTATACCCTGCATTAACAACTTTCTTTCGAAGTGTCTTATCTTTGATATGGAGCATGAAGTTTTGTGTGATATGTCTAATGAAATAGACATGTGTTGAAGGGGGATCCTGCCAACTGTTATCAGGGTTATTGTATGCATTCACAGTCGATGGATATCTGTCTAAAATCAAACAAAGGTTGGCATGAGGAGCAACGTGTAATCGGGGATTCTTTAAAAAGAAATTCCATGCACCACCTGTCTCACCTTCAACAAGAGCGAAGGAAATTGGAAAAAATTATTGTTGCCATCTTGTGCCACAGCCATGAGTAATGTTCCTTTATACTTTCCGTATAACCAAGTTCCATCAATTTGTATAATAGGTTTGCAGAATGCAAAACCTTTGATACATGGTTCATACGCCCATAACAATCGATGAAATATTCCATTTCCACTGACACGAGTTCTGTCTGGGGTAAATGCCAGAAGTGTCTCCAAAATTATAACAGTTCCCGGAGCATAATATTTGAGTGCCACCAAAAATCTTGGAAGTTATTTGTACGATTCCTCCTAATTACCGTACACAAGTTCAACTGCCTTATTCCTCGCGATCCATGCCTTCCTGTAAGAGGAGTATAATTGAAAATTGTAACGGTATGAGAAATAATTGTATTCACCTTTAATGATAGATCCTTGCTAATAAGAGGCAAGATTTCTTGACATATTAGTTGATAACTAAGTTTCCGATGATCCTGCGTCGGAACGATGGTGATGCAAGTGTGGAGTGGATCAATGGTACATATTTCCCATGAATCACTTCTCTTCTTGTAAGATGAAGTTAAACGAAAATGGAAAATTGGTTTTTGACGACATAAAATAATGTACCTTCCTGAATTAGTTCGATCTATACTGAAATCAACTAAAATTTCCATGTGGTATTTTTTGATAGCTCTAGCACACTCTTCTTTTATACGAAACTTGTCTCCAACTTTCAAGGCCCATTCGGTCTGCATATAAGGATTGTGAAAGATATCTGAGGCTGATTCGTCTTCCCCCAAATTCAAGTTTGTCATGTGAAATGGAGGATCATACACATGACTCGTAGGTAAAGGTTCATGCTCTTGATCTTCATCGACATTATTGACCATAAAATCAATCATTGCCTCACCATCTTCTTCTTCTTGGTCAATAACATCAACTTCGGGGTAGTTATCCTCGTCAGATTCATCCTCTTCTTCAAAATATTGAGAAGGATCTACCACCTGAGATTGATAAGGTTGTTGTAATAAAACATACAGCTCAATCTCATTGAACCCGAATTGTTCATGAGTTTGAAACATGTTTCGAACATCATCATCGTTGTGCACCTTTAGTTGATAAAATATGACTTGGTGTTGTCAAATAGAAATGGAGACTTGTAAAGAATTTGGTAAACTAGACCACACTGCAATTTTGCTTCTAGTCTATCTTTGAAGTGTGCAAAACTTGATTTCTTGTTTGTCCGAAAGCGGATAAAATAGGTATTACACAAATTAAAACCGAAGTTATCACAGTTGAACGTCTCACCGTTAATATGAGCAACAATACTATAATATTATGAATGATCCATATGTTGAGGTATGTTTTTTGTGAGTTATGGATGTATACCAGTAATGTTCCCTAAACAGACGCTTAAATAGACTGATGAAAGTTTGGGGTGTATACCACTGATGTGCCATCCAAGATGGCTTCTCTTTTAACAATATAACACATGTGCCACCTAGGGTGGCTTGTCCTCAAAATTTTGTAAGCATGTGCCACCTAGGGTGGCTTATCCTCCAAATTTTGTAAGCATGTGCCACCTAGGGTGGCTTTTCACGTGAACGATAGGCTTGCATTCATGCCATGTTGAGTGACTCCTTAGTGCAAAAAACAAAAGGATGCGCCTATCTGTTACTTGCATGCAGAAAATTATCACGTGAATGCATAATGTTCATCCATATTTTCTTATAAATTCATATAACATTCACCCTATATGTTCATCACAATCATAACTCATATACTATTTCTTTCTTGAAACATCAATAAGACACACAAGAGTAACAAAAAAAATGGCTCTCTTGACCATAGGTGATCAACATAGAGGAACTCTCAACAACATTGAAACATTTGAAAGTTTATTTTCTTCAATACCTGTTAATATGTAAATCTTATATTTCTTATACATAATTCATGTTTTTAATAGGATGTTAGAAGATTTTGTTGTCGTGTGCATGAGTATGTCCCTTACGATGTACAAATTGAACCGTACTTATGACAAGCCGATTTTGGTACGCTACTCAACATAATCAATTACCATGTTGACTATAAAATTATTCTTGTATTAGTGGAAATATGGAGATCAGAAACTCACACCTTTCATCTTTCATATGGTGAATGTATCGTCACACTAGAGGACATGTACATGTTATTCGGTCTATCGATCAATGGTAAGACTGTCAATGACCGAGTCAACCAAGACAATGCCATATGCGAGGAACTTTTGGGAGCCTGTTTATTTGAACAAGGGTCTAGAGGCCAATGTATTAACCTCCGTTTTCTTAGAGAATATCATAGTAGTCTCGTAATAACCGAAAACTCTACCGAGCAAGAAAAAATTGTGAAAGCTCGGTGTTACATAATGATATTATTTTGTCACTTTTTATTTTCTGAAACAACAGGTAATACTGTTAATATCATGCATTTACATTTGTTAAGATATTTTGATAAAATAAACACATATAGTTGGGGCTCTGATGCTTTGGCCCATCTGTATAGTTCCATGTGTAAAAATGCATCGAACAACAACTATTCTTTCTATTCCTGCGCCTTTTTGCTCCAAGCATGGTGCTGGTCGAGAATGCCGACACTCGCCCCCGCAACACAAGGCCATTCGTCTTCCCTTTGCTACAAAGTAAGATTACAAAAAACATAAATTTTGCATACTATATACTATAACCAACATGTATTAATTTATTATCCATTTTTTATATATAGGTGGTCTTCTTGTGGGATGAATTACAATAAATCCCCTAGAAACGCAATAGTAGTCTACCGAGATCTTATTGATCATGTTAGACCCGAAGAGGTAATAAGCTTACATATTTTATATAATGCTTTCAATAGGTTAATTAAGTTTAATATTAATATTAGATTAACATTATTTTTCCTTTACAGTTTGTATGGAGGTCGTATAAGGATCTCGACCATGAGATTAACCCATCAGATGCTGAAGTCTGGACTGCAAAAACAACGCTCATCAGGTTTACTACTATAGAGATGCACCACAGTGATCGTGTGAAGCTACAATTCGGCATGCAACAGGGTATCCTAAACCCCCTACATGTTTAAGACAATGACATCTACTCAGAGTTGACGACCAACAGGGATTTACTGATTTGAGAGACTTCGCTAGAAATCAATGTCGTCAATGGAGGCATCAACGTGAATTGGTCCTAAGGGAGCCGATCTCGCAAGATGACTAAAACCAACTCTCCAATATTTGACATGGTACACATCAGTTTCAACAAATTTGTTTATGTCCCATGAGACATATTTGGTCGACCCACGCCAAAGAGCTGCATCATACGCCCAACAATAACCCCAACATCCAACCCCTCATCAATACCAAACCCCACTATAATGTTAACCCACTCAAATCCAACAACCATAAACCACCACATCCAACCAAACCCGTCATCAATTCATGCCATACACACAAACACAATACCAAGAGTATGACCCAACCCACCATCAATAATATGCATTCTCCACATCCTACCACAACACCAAATACACATATAATACATTTCCTTCCTACCATACCATCCAACCTACATACAGTCAAACATCACACCATCGAAATACCCAACCTACATACAGTCAAACTTCACACCATCGAAGTACCCAACCATCATACGGATTTCATACACCACAAGAACTGTTGTTTTATTTCCAAAACGATTCAACATCCCAATACTATCAACCACCCCACCCACACATATCCCAACCAACAAGATCAAACTTCAACAACATGGACATCAATCTCTTTGGAAGCACGACACAGTGGGGTGGAATGATCAATGAGATGTATGATCCTGATGTATCAGGACCATCACATCAAGCACCTCATCATCAAGCGAGTCAGAACATACTCCAAACACCTCACAGAAATCAACAGAGAAGAGTGAGGCAAAGGGTATGGTAAAGGCAGGGCTGTTTATGTCATACTGAAACCCGCTTAAGTTGAGGGGACGTCCGAAAAAATATATATCCATGCATTGTGTAATTTAAAATATTAATATAAAATATTTTTAATTACTTTTATTTTTATTAAAAATAAATAAATACAACTGTCAAGCCACACAAGGTGGCGCCTCCTTTCTAATTATACATGCATGCGCCACACTTCATGACATTATATAGGAGGATAAATCATGCCGTGTGGTGCCTCCTCTTTATTTTGTATGCATGCGCCACACAGAGTGACACTTGCTCTGTGTGGCGAAATTTTTTTTGTTTGAAAAATGATTACTTTGATAAATATTTTAAAAAAGTAGTTATTTGGATATTTTTTTTGAAAAAAATAATTATTTAAAAAAAATTCTTTGTATGAAAAAAAGGAAATAAAAAAATAATTATATAGTTTTAAAATAATATAAATTTGAAATTTAAATAATAGCTCCCCCGCTCCCCATCTTTTCATTACCCACCAAAACTACTTTTAGTGGAAAGAAAAAGAAAAGAAAATTAAGATGGCTACGAAGCCGTTGCATTGAAGATCATCATCATTCACCACTAACAACACGTTTTGATCCAAAACAACAAAACTAAAACCCTCACTACCACTTCAATGGCAGAACCATTTAGCCCTAATCCAACAACCATTTCTAAACGGAGGATTCCCGTTTCCGCTTCCAATTTCTTCGTCGGCTCCAACGACGATCAACGTGAACGCGCCGCTGCCCGTGCTGCTCGTGCTGCCGCCATCCGCCGCACTTCTCGTCCCGTTAACTTCCAATCTCTTCCCTCCGATTCTGATCCGTGTCTCGACAAAAACCAGATTCTCGAGTTGTTTCACCGTTGCATTAAGCTTGCTTCAGAAAATGTAATGCTCATCGTTCACCGTTCTAGTTCTTCTTTTGTTTTTTTATTTTCTTACTGTTCGTTGTTTTTGTTTTTGTTTTTATTTTTGTGCGCAGAAAATTAATCAGAAAAATACTTGGGATTTGGATTTGATTGATCATCTTACTGATATTATTAGGGATGAAGATGATAATGATGCAGAGACTAATTTTCAAATGGTAATTTCAGTTTGTGAGTTCGGATTTCCTTAATTTTTACCTTTTGTGGTATGTTTCTGTTCATTGTGTTTCTTTATGTAGACTTGCTTGCAATGATGAATTTTCCATGATTTTAAAACCACATAAAAACTGGAATACTATTTCTCTACAACTAGATTTTTCTAGTTAGGTTTAGGCTTTAGTGTTTAGTATTTAGAGCTTAGGGTTGGTTGGTTGGCTGTACTATTTCTCTGCAACTAAGTTCTCTGAATCTCTTAACTTCAGGTGTCTCACATGTGTCTTTATGCTTCATTGCTAAATTTGTAGAGTTAATTTTTTGTTTATAATTGCACTCAGTGTTGTTAATAGAAGTTATTGCGGCGCTAGCGAAATATAAATAAATCTATGTTGTCCTACGATATGCTATCTAGTACGGAATATTGTCAAACAGCGGATATAGTGGTGCCAAGGCATTATTGTGTCGAAGAATTTTAACAATACGATATGTTTTTTCTTTCCGCTAATGATAACACTGATTGGATAAATTAGAGTCAACCAGATCAGACAGCTGTGACACAAAAAGTATACCTATTTACATATGAAAAATAATATTTCATTGATTTCTTATTTGGGTAGGCAAGCTGCACTCTTGAAGCTGGAGTCAAAATTTATTCGTTAAGAGTGGATTCAGTATATTCTGAGACGTATAAAGTCCTTGCTAGAATGAATAGGGTGGGCCAAGAAACTGAACAAGGTTATAATGATCATACCCTTTTATAGTCTTACAAGTTCAATATTTTTTATGCCTGTTTTCCCTTTCATAGTGATGTTCCATGTCCCATGGGTTGTGGATGGGACTATGCATACCAATTTTCTTCCTTAATTGTATGAAAACTTATCTAATTTAAAATTAATGTTTGATATCGTGTGAATGTCTGAAGTCTTAATGGCTGCAGTATGCTTTCTACAACACAAACACGGGCTTAATCTTTTTGTAGTGGTCCTTCACAACATTGCCTTATTTCAACAGCTTTTCTTTTCTTTTTTGCTCTCAAATAAATTTTATAACAATGAGGACTAGCCATAAATTTAAATATGTGGATTGGAAATATTCATTCCTGTAGGATCGAAATTGTTTCCCAACAATACATTATTCTTGGAATTTTAACATTTTATTCTTTACTAGTTCTAACTTTTAACAATGTCATGATGTTCAAACACTTCTCTAGAGAGTGTCAATGTAGAAGGGGTACAAGAAGATAGCAAGAAGGGAATCGTCAAAAAGGTCGGTTCCTTTGATCTCTAAATTTGTCTGAATAATCAAACTTCAAATTTATTGATAAGTTCTAAGTGCCTAATTGATGTTTGTTCTTGCAGTTGTCACCTTTGTCAACATTGGAATCATCTTTTGAGGCTCTTAATGTAAAGAAGTTTGATGGTGATTTCAAATATCATTCTATTTGTTATTTGTGTTTATGGTGTGGGATTGAGATTTATTTAGTGCTGACCGTGTATTTTTTTCCCTAGTTGCATTTTCTGTGGATCCCCTCTATCGCCAAACATCAGCAAAATTTGATGAAGGGGGAGCCAAAGGTCTTTTGATGAATAACCTAGGTGTATATGGTGGATGTAGGATGCTTTTTGATTCACTAGATGAGCCAGGGAAGTATGTAGCTAGTCAAAATGAACATGATAGTTCCAATATAATTGATCTTTCTTTTGCAAGAGGTATGTTCTTTTTTATAAAACTTTGGCGAAATCATTGCCACATTATTAGTAGAAATGTTCAATATGGCTTAGGGACTTGCTTTCTCTTCTTTGTAGATTGTATAGCACAAATGATGTTGGACATACATATTAAGGATGGAATTTCTCCAACTCTCAGGCTGATAGTAAATCAATTTGACGAAAATAATAGAAGGCCCTCTGATTTTCAATGTTTTGGCCCTAAATCAGCCGAAGAGGTTGATGCAGCTGCTGATTGTGAGCTTGAGGCTGAAACAGAAGACTATGAGACTTTCCCAACTTGGCCCCATGAGCACGACAGCCAAACCTTTGTTGCTGAAGTGGGCTCTAATGACGCAGACCCAATGTTTTCAAGTTATCCTCAGGTTTTGTACCATTTTAGTCCTTAACGTCCATGACTGTCTTGGAATATGTTTTAAAAGATATATATATTTTTTATTAAGTGTTTGATGGACCTTTATATCATTGTAGGAGAAAGAACCTTTTACTTCCCAAGACCCTGATATGGATGAGCTATTTGGAAATGTTGATGAGTATCTATCTTTTAATCTAGGTTTTAGGTCAAAGAAAAATGCCTGGGCAGGTCCTGATCATTGGAAATACCATAAAGCTAAAGGTGGGGTTTAAGAGTTTGCAACGAACTAATGGCTATATGCATTTGGGAGTTCAGCTTGTTAATTGATTTAGTAAATGTTTTAGGTTCAGAGTCAGAAGTTCATTGTTCTCCTGAAGATGGGTCAACCCTCAAAACTAGGCCACCAAAGACTATGAGACAGATCGAAGTTGATTTAGATTTCACAAATTCTCTTGGGAAAACACCTCCAGATATCTTTGCACCTCCCAAAAATCCTAAATCATTATTACTCCCTGAAAATAGATCCCATTGTGTTACAAAACTCCCAGAGGACTGCCACTATGAGCCAGAGGATCTTGTCAAGTTATTTCTTTTGCCTAGTGTGATGGTATGTTCTTTAGATATAAAAGTTAGTTTCAATTATCTCCATCCAAGTTAATATTTATTGGTTTCACTATGTTTTTGTTTCTTTCTTTAGTGTCTAGGGAGGAGGAGGGTGAGAAAGTTCTCAGGTAATATGTAATATTGTGACCCCAACATTTCTCTTTTTCTATGCCCTCCAATTCATTGTCTTTGAATTCTGAGAAGACTTTATTGTGCTTTCATGTAATTCTAAATTGCATCTAAGACATGAGTGGTATTATACAGATGAATCGACAGAGCAGTGCAATAACAATGAACCATTCCATTCATGGGATAATGGAAGTGTTTTTGATGGTGAGTATGATGGCGCACATAGTGACACGGATGACTTAAACAAACTTATTTCTCAGCCTCGTCAGGTGGGTTTAAGACATTATTGCTGTTGATATATGATTATTTCGTTATAAGACTTATTCCTCAACTTGCTGATATAGGATTATTTTTGGGTATATACATGCTATGAAGTTCTTTCATGCATATATTCCTCATCATTAACTTTAAGTTCGATACACACATTTTCCATACGTTATTGCGATTGGAGTTGTAGTTTAAATTTGGTTATTTCCAAATACCACAGATCAACAAAGTTGAAGTTCAATATGACAAAACTGCCAAACAAGTCGACGTTCTAGCACTGAAACTTACCCTTTGGAGCTCTATTCTAGGATCAGTTCAACATACTTTTCAGGTATATTGAGGTTTTATAATTTCCTGAATGGGCTTCCTTGAACCCTATATTATTTGCCTAGTTTTAAGTGCTCTAAAGTATCATTCCCTTTCTCACATTCCCTTAAATAAAATGCTCCAGTACTTTTTTATTACCTATGTTGTTTCAAACTTCTTCTCAATGGTAATAACTATTCAACTTTGATGCTGTATTTTTGCTAATCAATTTTATCTTTTGTTCTTTGAAGTCGGGCAACATATTCTAACAATATTTTTTGAACACTCTTCATTCTACAGGGAGAAAAAGAATCGGTATCTTTCAGGGATATATTGGCCAACTTTCCTAGTGAATGCACTGCTGCTGCAAATCTTGGTGACATAAGCCCACATTTGTGTTTCATATGCTTATTGCATTTGGCTAATGAGAAAGAGCTGAGCATCCAAAGCTGTCCCAACTTGGATGAGCTTCGTATATATATGCCTACCTAAGGTTGGTGCCTCAAAAAGTGGAGCAGTACACTGCTTCATTTTCGTAAATAGGGAATATTTTGATAGGTTTTTATGTACAGAGTTCTCTTGCTTTATTTTATTTTCTGCAGAATTTCCACCTGGCTTTGAACACAGTCAAGGTCTCATTAGTGAACTTTTGAAGCATTTTTAGGATAATAGATAAATAGAAGATTGTAGATAGCATGTTAAGCCGTAAAACATAGATGGGAACATATTGAATTGAAAATTAATCCGTTGTCCATGGGTTTCAGTTGTACTGTAACTTGTTTTAGAACTGATGTATGGTAGGTATCATTGAGGAGATAGAGTATTTGGTAACAAGATGATGTGATATTTTATTCTATTAAATGTGTAAATATCTTAAATGCTAGCCACTTGGGTGTGGCATGATAGTTATGTGAGTTTGTGATTTTTATTGGGGAAATTATATTTGAACATCCAAAATACAAAGACCATAAGTCGTCTCTGTTATTTTGGTATCCTGTTATCGATTACAAGATTCAATTAAAGACATATATGTTTTTAAATATAAATTCCTATGTAATTTTATCAGGTGTAATGTTTTTCAAATATATTAATAATATTATTTCAAAAATAAACTGAGGCTTATCTTAAATGTGTAATAATGCGCATAGAGGCATAACATGTGGAGAGAAAGAAAGTATAGTACTGTCTAGTGCATAAGGCCAAAACGTATATTTCCTTCAAAAGCATGATCACTCAACTGGTCCATGGACTTGTCTGTTTATTGTTTTTTACTAGTATGGAGAGAAAGAATAACAGAGTTCTGAATAGTGTGTGAGGCCAACACGTTTATTTCCTTCAGGAGCATGACCTCAATATGGTCCATGGACTTGTTTGTCTTCACTCCCTTGAATTTCAAAGTTGTGAAGTACGGCAATTTTTTCCATCCTTGATGTGTGAATTACATTAAAAATTCATGAATTATTTGTCAAAATTTGGTTTGAAGATGCATCTGCGAATATATTTGAGGTTTATATGGAGATGTCATTTCAAAAGCTCTAATTTTGAATATGCATATCCGAAAACTTCTCTGTCATGCAATGTGGACAGAGACAATGTATAAGTTTGTATATTTTTTTTTGAATATGAAGTTATTTTAATCTGACTAACAATGCCATAAACTATAATTTAATTCAAACATTAACATCTCAAAATAAGATAATGCATTAATTAAAATAAAGTCATAATATTGCAAACTTAGTTCTCAATGTATGAAAAATACCAAGAAAACAAATGAAAATACATAAAAATCATAACCTACACATATGCTTAATCTTAACCCCATGACTCCTCCTCTGTCGCATGTAACCTAAGGCATTCAGTGCCTTAGTAAGAATGACACATGCTAGGGCAACAACATCATTACCACCTCTTTAAAATAGTCTAGACTCGATGCACTCTCTCGTAATCCGCATTATATCCTGACAGATCGACAACACATCAACGACATGGTCATCCACGACCTGCTCATTCTCTAACCTCCTCTTGAGCATGCCTAGGTGGACGTCCAAGAACGTCTGGTGTCATGACAGGGTGTGACACAGAATATAAGTCATGTAACCCTTAACATAATGCCACTGACTTTGTGGCTGTCATACTTTGATACTCCTATTGTATCAGATGACTCTCGTAATCCGCTAGTATGTCATCAAGATGTTCGCAGATGATGTTGATAGGAGCAACTACCAAGGGGGATCTCAGAATGATCCGTATAAATCCAAACTGACGCATGCGTCGTTTCGACAGATACCTGCACATCAAATTACTCCCACATACCAGTCATCCGGAGTAATATGAAATGGGGATCGAATGGAATAATATCCCGATGAGTGGCATATGGTGTCCAATCAATGTCATCATGTTGAGTCTTGTCAATATACTCACGAAATGGCTGCACAACATCATTCTCTCTACGTGGACAATGCAGACAAACACATGGGTAATCCTTAGTATACCATAACACACTATCAAACCCGTGCATGCAGTGAAAGTGGGATAGAATCCATTCCTAAAAATGAATAAGAAAAAAATTAGTAACAAGTGTAAAAATGTTTTTAAAATTAATAGCGGCTATGGAAATTACCGCCAGCAGGGTGCATGAGCTTATCATTTGCTTTGTCATCTAAAGAGAACCTTCGCCTAGCTTGGCGTACATGTATACCAAGCATGCGGCCTCCCGTTCCACTTGTGAATGGCCTCCAAGTCGATGAAATACTTAAGGTATACCACATCCACGTATGTTGCACTTCTGTCCACAAACATGGATATGCCAACCAAGAAGAGGAAGAAACACCTCAAAGCATACTCTATTTGGTATGTAACATGTATTTCATCTCCGTCTGCTTCCTCGGCCAACTCCAATTTTTCTGTATATAGCTTCCTCAAGCATGAAAATATAGCACAAGCACCTCTGGTGTTCTCACACTGCATTAGGGCATCCATTGGGCCAACTCCCAAATAAATCACCATCATCTCCTGGGTCTCATCGCGTTTGATCCTAGAATGATAAATTAACTTTCCACGATGGAAATGTGTAGAAGGCAAGCGACGTCATCAAGTGTAATCATCATCTCACCAATGGGGAAATGGAAAGATGACGATTCTTTGTGCCATGTCTCAACAAAATCTCCCTGCATGCCATGATTAATGGTCTTGTACCGGGAGAAACATATTCCGGAAAGACCGAAGAATGTTAGCACACTTTGGAACCATTCATCCTTAGGCTGATGAAACTTGTGAATCTTTCTGGCATGGTTAACAAATTTCAAATAATCGCGTTCCTGTTATAAAAATAAATAACAATATCAGTTAAATCGTATTTGGGTAAAACAAAAAATAACAAATGTTAACAAATATACCTCTCTGACCTAGACATGTAGAGCAATATGGTCTCTAAAAATATCAATAATGAGGTGTCAATGAGCTCTCCTAGATAAGGCTCTGCAAGCGGAAGAAAGCCATCATGTGCAGCTGGAGCCTCCTCCTGGTGTATGTGAGTTTGGGATGAGAACTCTTGTGATAGACGACTCCTAGAAGTGGACGCTTACTTGTCGTGACGCCTAGGTCAGACGGTTCTCCGCATAACTCTAGCATGCTCATGTTGAAAAGCCCTCTCGTGGCGAGTGGACACGGTTAGAGTTTCACATTCGAGTCTCATTCTGTTGTTATTTGCAGCCATTCTCCTGAAGAAAAAATCTAACAAAGACATTAGTTTCAAATTCTGTAAATTTTGTAGTAGGAATGACCAAATTCGGATACCCATCTTCGAAAACCAGAAAGGACCAAATTCGGATATACATCTTAGAATAAGCTTCGTGTTTTGCTTCAATGGTAGAATCAATTCCTATTCTTGCCATAACCTAAAATGCATCAAAATCGTAGTGCATGTCTGTAACATTACCTATTCCGAATTTTAATACCACATAATGCATTGAAAGTAAACTATTTTGCCTAATACATTAATCAAAAATCAAAATAAGTTAAAACAAAAACTTACTCAAATAAGTGATGAAAAGAATGAATAATGTTCAATGTAGATTGGAGTGAGTTGGGATTGCTAAGATTGAAGTAAATGTTCTCTTGTTACTTTAAAATTGACTAGAACAAGGTGGCTCAAGAGTTCAAATGAGTGAAGAAATTTTTTCAGAAAATAAAGAAAGAGGAGAGGGAGTGTCTGGCACGAGATGTACATTCAAAATTTTCGGAGATGTATCTCCGAAAATATGCATCTGCGAACAAATCCTGAAACACATTCGGAGATGCATCTCTGAATTAAAGTTTTACAAAGTGAGGGATGCTCGACAATTAGTGTTTATTTTGTGTGAAAATGGTGCGTTCGAAGATGCATTTCAGAATTTAAAATGTATTTTTGACTTTTCGCCAAGGGCTTGGGAGAACATGGGGTGAAAAAAGAAATTGTTAAACTATAATACTTTTTGTCTCATAACAAATGTCTTATTTGAATTATGTATATATATTTTTAAATTATTAGATGTATTAATTTTTATGATAAAATTAATATAATTTATTAAAATATTTTTATTAATTATATTTAGTGTAGTAGTTGAAAAGAGTAAAATTAATAAAGGGTTAATTCCTGACAAAATCGTAGTTAAAATGGTCTCTAATTCTGTCGCTAAATAAAAACCGTCGCTAAAACTGTCGTTAAAATCTTCGCTAAAACCGTCGCTAAGTTGTAAAAATCGTTGCTAAATTGCAGGATGGACCAAAAGTTAAAATTTAATCTTTTAGAAGGACCATTCTTTGAAAGAAAATTTTAGAGAAACTAAAAACAAAATTTGAGATATTTAGAGGGATCAAAAACTTATTTAACCTATTAATAAATAAAATAATAGTAAGATAATGAATATTATATTTATATTATAAATAGATAGATTTTTTTGCAAATAAAATGATTTTATTAGAATTAATTCAATAATAATTCAATTATATATACATGCAAAACATACACTTTAATGGAGAATATAATAAATAAACGAGCATCTATACATAATTACAAGAAGTTCATGAGAGATGAGATCGTTCCTAATATTTAGATGAATCTGAGGGAAAACTCTTTAGACAATGACAAATTGACAATGGTAATTTTAAAATACAAGTAACATTTGTTGCTTTGTGGATTTTCTTCAATCAATATTTTTAATGTCTTAAACATTCATCAAATGAAAAGAAGACATAACGTGTTTGTTGTCAAGGGGCCATAGCATAAATATAAGTAATGACCAATTATAATTTTTATTATTTTAAAATGAATCATCCTTACATTCAATTATATTTAAAATTTATATTTAACTAATTAATTAACTAATTAATAAATAAATAATTTAATTAATCTCTTAAATTTTATTTGTTCATATAGAAACTTGATAAATAACTATTATAATTCATTATGTATTTTCCCACACAATAATTATTAAAATATAATAATTAAATAT